GGGATTGGGCAAGTAATTGCAATAACCGCACAGTGTGGCCAGTCTTGCCGGTGTGCTGCGAGATTTACAGGAGCACCTAGTAGGGGCACTACACATGGCAAATGAGAGGAGGAAGTCCAAGAGGGCTCCCTGAAGGAAATGCCGGCTAATTTACTATCTAATGGACAAAAGTAGGGACCGGAGGTTGGGATGGAGAGCAAAGAGAAGACTAGAAGACTATAGGGAAAGTCTAGAGATTGAAAGCATGGAATGACTTCTGGGAACTAGAAAACAGAGCGGTCAGGCCGACCTGCAGCCTGCAAGGGAGAGGGCACCAGATGAGGCCACGAGGTCATCGTGGGACAGCCGTGAAGGACATCGTCAACCACACGTGGGAGCTTTGATTCTACCCACAAGAAGACAGAAGAGTGACATGTGTGTAGCTGCGTTCAGAATGGTCTCTCTGGCAGTACTGAAGGCAACACACTGGGAAGGGGTGGCCCTGGCAGCTGAGCCCAGAGGGATGGAGAGAAACTGTTGGGTTGGAACAGAGGGGGCACAAAGGGCAGGAAGCAAAGTCAGAGAAAAGACCCATCTCTGGCTTAAAGGCTGGAGGAGGGATTGGGACTGAATTGGGAGTGCAAGGAGAAACATTTGACGGTTAGCACTTGTTGCCTTTGGGGCGCTCCTGAGACACCTGCGTGGAAATGTTTGTTAGATGTTAAAGGAGCTGGAACTCATGGAGAGGTTGAGGGCAGGAGCTGTGGAATTGGGACTCTCGTCCTGATTCCAGGGGCCGTGGAAGGCATGGGCAGGAGGAAATTTTAAGCATTTAAGGAGACACTTAGAAGGTAAGTTAAGAACTGAGAGGAGGAAGAGAAGGGGAATGTTGGGGGCTGGGATAAGCTGTAGGGGAGTTGGCCTTGAAGCTATCCACTGACTTCCCCTCCCTCCTCTATATACTCCTCTTTGAAAATGGAATCTTTTCTTCGGGGAATCTAGAAGCTGAAATGTGAGGGGAGATTTCTTTCTTTCTTAACTGGAGATAAGTATTTAAATAATGAAAGCGAGAAGGAGACTACAGAGAGTGAGAAGAAGATAAAAAAGAGGAGATAATAGGTAGGAGGGTCCCTGGGAAGCAGAGAGGAAATAGATCCAAAGCCCGGCAGCGCTGGGCCCGAGGGAGGAGACACCTTCCATCAGTGACTGTGTGGCTATAAATAACGACACAGTCAGTGAGTGACAGACACTGCAGACGTGGGAGAGAGTGTGTTGTTTTGGTGGCAATAAGCCGGGGAAGTTCCCATCCAAAGCTTCCAGTTTCTCAGTGGAACGGGTGGCAAGGTCAATGCCGAGAATGAGAGAGGACTACACCAAGGAGTAGGGTTTGGAGAAGGCCCCAGGGCAGCTCCCCCAAAGATCTCCTCTTTGCTTTTCTACTTTGGGGGTCAGTGACAGGATCCAGAACCTTGCACTCAGCCGTAGGATCCAGAAGCCAGAGAAAGGGACTCCATCTCCTAGGGACAGGCTCACACTGCTCTAATGGAGAAAGTTGATGTAGAAGCCCAGAGAGGTCTGCGCCCTCAAGTACAGGGAGACACTGACCGGCCTAACCCAGTTCACTGCAAGCAGAAGACCTATGGGAGAACTAGATCACACCTGGCTGTCCTGGGCCAACTCCCTTTCCTGGAAGTGGTGCCTTAGTCAAGGCCCTCCTTGTATTCTATGCCCCCGGGGCGGATCAATGCTTTTAATGGGCACATTTCCCCCTTTGGATATGCTAGTAAATTGGATCAGTCAGAGGGTTAGCTCCTTTGGAGCTCAGGAAGGTGCCTTTTTTACATAACTCTGAGCTGGTCTACAGTGGGGACTGTCACCACAACCCCCAGCAGCCACAAGGAACTCCTCTCCACAGCAAAGAATCTGGCAAAAGTTGTAATGCACACTTAACAGGCAGGGGCACCACATCGACCTGGTTTGACGCTGTAGTGCAAGGGCAATGCCCATCTTTTCTGTAAGGGGCCAGACAGTGAATGTGTTGGGCTTTGTAGCCAGGACGTCTACGTCACAACTACTCGGTGCTGCTGCTGGATCGTCAAAGCAGCCATCGACTATATGAAAACCAAAGGGTGTGGCTGGTCTCCCAATAAACTTGATTTACAACAGCAGGTGGCCAGCCTGCAGCCTCTCCTGTCCCCACCTCTCCTACCCGCTCCAGCCACCTCTAGCACAGCCAAGCACACAGTCAGTGCTAGAGAAGAAATGACCGAGGCCTCTCCCCCTAAATCTGTTGTGACCACCTTGCTCTGCAAAGCTTCTTTCCCTATCGGCTTGGCACAGTCACTGAGTTGAGCAGGCGTACGTGACCAAAGGAGGGAGGTGGGTGTGAGCAAGCCTTGGCTTATTTGTGAATGGATCATTCCATGATGAAAGGCCCTCAGGGAAAGTTGTTGAACTCTTGAAAATATCCTTCTTAATTGGGTAGGTGCTTAGGAAGCTGCCCGAGGCTGCGCCTGCAGACCTGGGTGCCCTAAGCTCCGGGAGGGCAGCCCTACTCCTCCCTCTCCAGCTTCCCCTGCAGCTCCTCACTCAGAGCAGCGGCTCCATCAGTGCTCACTCGGTTCTCAGCTTGGCTCTGCGACCGTCCTGTTGATCACGGGCCATTTCTCCCCCCTCTTCTATGCTTTACTTATTTTTTTCCAATTTTTCTACAGTGATTACATTCAGAAACAACAGAATTAGGATCTTTGTCACAGCAAAACCAAACAGTTAATACAATAAGCCCAGTTTACTTTTCCCTATTCTAGATAGAAACCTTCTTCCGGTTAGAAACTCGAAACTCTCCTTGTGAGAAAGAGGAGAGAAAGGTTCGGTTTTGACTGCGCTAAAATGCTGCTGTTTGTCATTTGATTTCTAGGAAGAGATCATTATCCTATTCCCGGTAGCAAATTATTAAGACTATTTACAAATCCTCCTCCTGATTTGCTAAGGACGTTCTTTGCTGAGATTGTCAGTGGGGTCTCTGCGTCTGCCTCCAGAACACGTGATCCAGAACACAGGATCCAGAACCCGTGATCCAGAACACGTGACTGAGAACCGGCGATCCAGAACACGTGACTGAGAACCCGTGATCCAGAACTCTCTGGCTCATTTAAGAAGATGATAGGGAGGAGAAAAAGTAACCGTATCCTAAAAAGCAATTTTTCAAAACTGACTTCAGAGTCAATCCTACCAAGATCACTTCCCAGTTTGTGAAGAAAAAAAAATACACTATTTCAGTAACTTACATCTCGTGTCTACTTGTCCAATATCTGATGATATTGATTAGAAATCAGACTGGAGGTTTTCAACGCTGAGGCAGGAGCCAGACCCACCACGCAATGCTTTTCAAATCTAGAGGTGCCAGGGCCTCTCCCCAGACTTGGGGTACAAAGCCCGCAGGGACCAGATGCACGCGCTCACTGTGCTGGAGGCTAGTGCGGTGCCTGGTGCAAAAGTGCTCCATTCCTATTCGACGAAAGAAATCGTTACCCTGGCTCCATCTGGGGAAGGTTCAGGGGCTTTCACAAAACTGACTTTGTACTGCTTGGCTTTTTTGATCTGTTTGAATTTTTGCTATGTTTATTTTTTAAAAAAGAGTTCCTTTTTTAAGCAAAATACTATCTATGACTACAACAGCTAAAATAATTTAAATCCTGTTAAGTCAAAATAATTATAGTTTTATTTAAATATATGCAACTATAAAAGCTTGCTCTGTAAGATAACACAAATGGTAAATCCATTGTCTTAGCAATGTCTTAAGTGAAAATAATTATTACAAACACTTGTACTCGCTAGGTGCCGGTGCCTAGTCTAAGTGCTCGATACGTATTAACCCAACCCTCTCTACCTCTCCCTGTGAGGCAGGGACGTGTCCACGGCATTCGGCTGTATGGTAAGGAGTGGAGCCGTCTGACCCAGGAGCCCGGGGGCCAGCCGCTGCACCACAGCATCGCAACTGATCCGCAGAATCAGAAACATGCCGGATCTTAACACCCGCAATGGGTTTAACAGATAACTAGTTATCTAAAGAGGTCTCAACAAATCAGTATTTGTTGAGTGATTACCCTGAGATCATCCCAGGGAAGCTGGACCTGCCTCTTCCAAAAGGGAAGTCGGGGGAGGACTGCCTGGGGACAGGCAGGCAAGTCCTGGATGAGGCACCCAGGCCAGGGGTGCCCCTGGGTTTTCCCCTGGCTGGTTTGCAGTGTCCACCCCAAGGGCACTGCCTGTCTCAGGGATCTGCAGGAGCAGGGCCCTTTGTCCCCTCTGTCGCCAGCACCTGAAACAGTGCTCGGCAGATGCTTGGCTGAATGGGTGCTGCCAGTATTGTACCCACGCCTGCTGCTGCAGGAGGAAGCTCAGCTCCGCAGGACCAGCCGTCTCTCTGGGCTGGGCCTGTGCCTTGCACTTCATAACAGCCCATCATCATCCCCAGTGTAACTAGAGGTCCCTTTCCAGAGGGGACCCATCAGGGCTCTGGCACACCTTCATCAGAATGATTCGCTCCATTACCCACTGAAAGAGGCAGCCACCCCATAGACATGACTCAGCTGACATGCAGATGCATCGGAAAAACCCTGGAAAACAGGCCACGCTGGGGCCTGGATGAGGCGAGTGGTCCGGGGAACGTCTCCTTGCTCAGCCAGCTCGAGCCCACATGGAAAAGTCATGTTTCACTTGTGTAACAAGGGGGGCAAGGGAGAGAAAGACCCTTTATATTTCGAGAGGTGTGCAATATTTCCGCCCCAAATTAGCTTTTTGAGGGGCACACATTTGACAGTATCCCCCATCCCAGTGAGGGGTGCAGCTCCTCACAGCTCCTTTTCTGTGAGACAGAAAAGGGGAGCCCTTGAATCTCTGCTCCCAGCCCCCAGGCCTGACCTGGCAGCTGGGGGGTGGGTCATGTGGCCGCACGTTGGGCCGCAGGCCCGGGCACCCCCTCCCACACCCGTCCAGGGCCCCACTGGGCTGCCACCTACCTTGGATGGTCCTCTTGAAGAAGGCCTTGCAGGCCTCGCAGGAGGCCACGCCATAGTGGTAGCCAGAGGCAATGTCCCCACACACGAGGCACAGGCGCTTGGGGATGGCGTTCAGCATGTACTCGCACTTGATGGCCGAGTCCTCCATGATGCCACCCGCACAGTCCTCGTAGCTCTTGCGACACGGGGTGCTTCCCAGCCCGGCGCCTGCAAACATGGGCGGGGAGTCCAGACCATTGGCGTGGGCGCCCAGGGCCAGGCCAAAGGCGCCGCTGGTGTCCGACGAGCTACTGGGGCTGTGGTGGCTGAGGGCGTCAATGCCGGAGCACGGGCTGGACGGCTCCGTCTTGATGAAGGAGCCGCAGCTGGAGGTCAGGTGCCGGTCATCTGCGGACATTCTGTTCAGCAGCCTACAGACACAGAGGAAGGGAAGTCAAGTCTGAGGAGGCTGAGGTGTGACTGTCGCCAGGAATTAGCCCCGGCCCCAGGGAACCAGTGGGTGGAGCAGTGGGGAGGGGCTCTAAGCTAAGGCTTCCGTGAGATACAATTCAGTGGAGAAGATCAATTAGGCACAGCCTCCAGCAAGTTTCTGGCTTTACACCCCTCCTTTCCCAGCACCTTCTGAGTCTTTCAAAGAAAAACTGTTTGGTCAATAAACTTCAGACTAGGCAACTTGCCCTTTGCAAATTACTGACCTGAGGGTGACAAAAAGTGGTAGTAAACAATGTGGCCAAAATATTTGGCCAAGCTTCCCATGCAAGAATAAAAACCATGGTGGCTACAGTGGAAAAAGTCCCGGCATGCCAGGCCCTGGACCACACACTCTCAGGACAATGAGCTGGTAAACCAATTTTGCCCAGTCCCTCTGGGCCTTGGAGCTCGGAGCTTGGAACCGGGACGGGGAGCTTGGAGCCTCCCCCTCCCCGCACCGCCATCACTGAGATTGGAGCCAGAGATGCCAAAGGAGCCGGCCAGGGCAAGAAGCAGGGCTTGTGGCTCAGGTCCAGCTAAACTGGCTGCCCTCTGGGCTTTGCCACTGGCCCAGGGAACTTCTGGAGGGTAGCCGCAGACCCCCTCTCCCACTTCCAGGCCTCTGAGCCGGCAGCCTTCGGCCCAGCTCTTCCCCTCTGAGAGACAGCAGGGGGAAGCCTTCCAGTCCCTACTCCATGCTTCCTCAGCTGTTTCTGTTAACCTTAAATTTCAACCTTCCTGGCAGATCGCCTGACCGAAGCGTCATCAGCGAGACAGGGTCACTGAGAAGCACTGCATTGTTTCCCCGTAAGGAGAGCCCCTCCTCTTAGAACCTTGGTGGGTAGGTGGGCGGCAGGGTGCGACCCTCCCAGTCCCAGCTCCCCCGGTGAGGGGAAGGGCCTCTCTGGAATGGGCTGGAAAAGCTCACAACAGGGAGATGAGGTGCATGGTTAGGGAAGCCCAGCTGCTGCCCAGTTCCAGCCCTCTGGGGCCAGCAGGGGCCTGGAGTCAGGAGGCGGGTCAGGGCGCGTTAGTCCCTGGCCTGGCCTGGCCATATGGAGGTGAAGAGGAGGCCAAGGCTTGCTCCTGGGGAGCAGGTGAAAGGAAAGAGGGAAGGTCTTGGAGGCAGAAAAGAACTGGAGAGGTCCAAGGTGCAGCCCATGAGTGGCAAGAGGGCTCCTGGCTGAGAAGGAGGGTCTCAGAGCTAGGGGCTCCCATGGCGAAGCAGCCATAGTCCTTCTCCTGTTCCTTGGGGGGAGCCCCTGTGTTCTGAGCAGCCTACTGAGGGAAGGACTGGGCACTTCCTCACCGCCCCAAACCCCGCCCCCACCACACAACCTTGGTCACATGTCGCCAAATGCAACCTCGTGATGGGGAGGGGCCTTCCTTGTCCCTGGTCCCAGTACTGAGTTCATAGTCGATGTGCCCCCAGGGGCTGTCCCATTCATCTGCACTTGAAGATGCCTGGAGATAGGAAATCGCTGCCCCGGGACGGTTCTCAGGACAGTTCTAATCAGAAACTGGGCACTGCAGATTGCAAGATAAAAAATACCTGTAGGGCTCCTACTCTTAAGAAGTTTATTATTTCCTGGAATGTGGTGTTTGGAGATAGAGGCTCCCAGGTTCCTTGTGTTCCAAACTGAGCATCCTGAGTCCTCAAGTGCTAGGAGACACCTCTCCTGCAAGCCCCAGGTTTTGCTCACATTGGCCCAGCTGAGGGTCTGTCACCTGAGTCCTTTTACATGACTGGCTGGTGACCTGTCATCTCCCTGGGCTCCCCACAGCCACCTGCTTCCCCTGCATCCACCAGTGGGTCCTGATTTGTCCTCAGGAAACACCATCAGCCTGGCGGGGTATGTAAGACAGGAGAAAATCTGCTGGAGCAAACACTAGTGCACCTTTGGGTCCCTCCCCACAATGCCCTTGCGTGGGGCGGGCGGGCAGGGAGGGCTGACCAGGTGCTCTTTCATGTGTAACCCCCTCCCGCCCACTGCTGCAGACTCTGCAGTCCCCAGGAATATCCCAGGCCCTCTGTGGCAAACCTTGCTGGGTGAGACAGCTCCCAGCCCAGCCCTCTGTCCTCGCCCCTCTGCCTGAAATCCAGAGATCCGGGAAATACATTTGACATAAACAGTAATTAGAGCAGCTACTACCTGTGAGCATGTCCCTTGGATGTATGAGAAGCATGCGTCCTGCGGTAAGAAGAGAGGGAGCCCTGCAGCCATGCCCAGTGAACAGCAGGCCAGTAGTGTCCCCACTGTCTTCCCCCAGCTTCATGGCTCAGACAGCCCCAAAGGACACCAGGGCGGGGGGCCCCCTAAGCCTTTGGTTTCCCCTTCTACCGCTCTTTCTGGGTTCAGAAGGGCACAAAGCTTCCTGCAGTGTACTGGGCAGCCAGCACAAGCCTGGCAGCCAGCATAAGCCTCGCCCCCAGGCCTCGCCCCCAGGCCCAGGTCAGAGACCCTGGGGCTGAGAAGGAAGCAAGAACCAGTTGGATGCCTGAGCCCCAGCTGAGGGTGGGGCAATTCTAATGATTTCATTCTTGCAGTTTTCTGTTATCCAGGATCATTATTTTGGCCCCACTAGAATGTCTTTTCCAGGGACAGTCAACCTGTATTTCAGGCACCTACTATGGTGCTAAGTGCTAGCCAGATCAGGGGAACATGCCAGGCACGGCCCCAGATCTTGGAAGCCCTCGAGGAAAGTCAGGTGCTAACAAACACAAGCGTGCAGAGCTCCAGAAAGGGGCAGGTGGATGCAACACTGACAGGGGTCCCCTGGTGCGTGCGCCCCACTGGTCTGGCTTCATTCATGCAGATGTGATGACTGAAACCTTCTCCAGATCTTGCCAAATGTTCCAGGGGTAGAGGGTGCAAAATTGCCCCGAGCTGAACACCACTGACTTAGATGCATGAGGGAAGAGGGTGGACGAGGGGTACAGGAACTGAGGGATCAGCAAATGAATGGTGCAATTTCAGGACAGAGAGGCATGACATCAGAAAGGGTGGAAGTGAGGGCAACCGAGGCCTAGAGCGTGGTGGTTTCCAGGGAGGGAGAGTGGGGACAGGGGAAGAGTGTGGAGCGGGGGTGTGAAGCCTTGGTGGCAGGTCCAGGAGGGGGAGGCTGAGCGGGTTCCCAGGGAGTGCAGTCTTGGAATCAGGGGAGCTGGCTGACACTGTGCTCTGGGGAGGAGGGAGCCATGTAGATGGAGCCTGTCATCTGCAGTGGGCCTGGGCCCAGTTCCCAGCTGAGTCGATGACTATTGACTCTCCTCGGAGGGGCCAGATGCTGCGTCTAGGCGGCCTTTGAAAGAGTGGGGGTCAGCGGTCGAAATCCCTCAAGGCATCATTTTTCTGGTGATCTGTCCAGAACAGGAGCATGGCCAGAGCTGCCTTGGCCTCAGTTGGCCACCATCTGATTAAACAAGGCCTCCCTCCAACCCCACCCAGCGCTGCCCCTCGCCCTCCCAGTGACCAGGGTGGGGCCCTGTACCCCAGGGCAGCCTGAGCTCCAGGGGTGCCTGAGCTGATTTGGGGGCTCTCTGCCTCTGCTGGGCATCACAATGGGCTGCAGATTTTCCTAACATGGAGACCAGCAGAATCTTGGAAGTTCTGAGTGAAACCCAGCAGTTGAGGAGTTCTTCCATGGACCTCTAGCGGTATCACCACGAAACAATCACACATTTTTGAGCTGTCATCCCAGGCATCTATGGCCCTCGTGTCGCAAACTCCTGAAGAGAAGAGGGATAGCCTGGCCTGATTAGCCAGCGCCTGGCTCACTCCCCTCTGCAGGGCAGTGTCCACCCCACCACAAGCAGAGATCTGGGTCTCATGCAGAGGGGCTGCCCTCAGAGCCTTCCTTTGGCTCCTTACCGGGACCACCCCCTTCAGAGTGGAAAGAGGCAGCTGAGCCCCTTGCGGTTATGAGCCTGCCCTCTGGCACCAGATGGGCCAGTTCCATCATGTGAGTCAACAGGTCACCCTCTCTGGGCCTCAGGGTCCTGGTCTATAAATGGGCTCCACCACAGCTCTCACTCATGGGGTCGCTCTGGGCGAGCATGAGATAACCAATGCAGCGAGCACTCAGAGGATGCCAGCTGCCGCTGTGGTCTCCCAGGAAACCCTTCTAGAAAACCCAGAAGCTGGAGGCCTGTGGTTAAGCCCAGCGAAGCTCTTTCCTCACCAAGTCCCCAGATCTAGAAGAGCTCGTTGCACATTGAACTTGCCATGTATTAGGAGGGAAAGCGGTTGGTTAGGCAAATTAAAAGGATAAATAAGCATCATTCTACAGAAGAAAAATGGCTTCCGAACACTTGAGAGACTCTTATGTGCATTTCTGTGATTGGTTTGCTAAGCAGGGCCACCTAATCTATTCAAGGCAGCCAGCCCTCCGGCCCTGCAGCCAGGCTTGGTTAGGAATCAGCCTCTCAGGCACCTGGAAGAAACACAGCTGAACTTCCTTTAAAAATATTATTCAATTTGCATCTCTCTGATGGCTAGTGATGCTCAGCATTTCTTCATGTGTCTATGCACCCTCTGTGTGTCCTTCTTGGAGAAGTGTCTGTTCAGGTCCTTTGCCCATTTTTTGATTGGATTGCTTGTCTTCCTGGTGTGAAGTTGTGTGAGTTCTTTCTATATTTTGGAGCTCAAACTCTGTCTGAGGCGTCATTGGCAAATATGTTTTCCCATAGAGTTGACTCCATTTCCATTTTGTTGATGTTTTCTTCAGTTGTGCAGAAGCTTTTTAGTCTGGTAAGATCCCATTTGTTTATTCTTTCCTTTATAACCCCTGCCCTAGGGGATGCATCAGTGAAAATGTTGCTGTGTGGGATATCTGGAAAAACTGTGGTACCTTTATACAATGGAATACTATGCAGCAGAAAGAAAGAAGGAGCTCCTACCCTTCGCGACAGCATGGATGGAACTAGAGAGCATTATGC